TTTTAATAAACCCTCAAAAATAATTTTTTAAAAAATTTGAAAAAATTTTGTGAAAAGTTTTATTTAAGTTAATTGAAAAGAACGAAACCACTGGTTTAGATGAAGAAATTTATAAAATTGAAATTCCTGCCAATCGTTATGACTTGCTTTGTGTTGAGGGATTGACTAGAGCTTTACTTATATTTCAAAATAAGTTGTTTTTATTTATTTTTTTTAATATTTTTTTTTATTTTTAGAATAAAAATTCCATCATATAAATTGTCAGAAGTTAAACCTTTGACTATAATTGTTGAAAAAGAGGTTTTTTTTAATATTTTAGTGAAAGCTTTTGGTTCATGTCCAGTTGGGTTGTCCTTGGTTTTAAAATTGGGGTTGGGTTAATATTTTAAGGAACCCAACTTTTAACCAAAAAATGCAATGTATAGTTTTGAGGGACATTTATATTCTTGAGACACGTCCCAAAATTTTTTTCCTTTAAAGACCGCCAACGTACGAAAATTTGTTGTTGGTGCAGTTTTAAGGGATATTAAATTAGATGCTGACATCTATTCCTCTTTTATTGATTTGCAAGACAAATTACACCAAAATATTGGCAGGAAAAGAACACTAGCGTCTATTGGGACTCATGATTTGGATACGATTAAAGGTTTTTTTTAATTTCACGAATTTTTATAATTTTTATTTTTTTCTTTTTAGGGCCCTTTAAGTATTGTGCTCGTAAGCCTGAAGAAATTATTTTTAAACCTTTAAATCAAAATAAAGAGTTTAATGGATTGGAATTAATGGAATTTTATGTATATTTTAAATAAATTAATTTTCCTCACTAACCTCACTTTAAGACTCGTCCAATATTAGATACACCCAAATTTAAGATACTTTTTTTGAAAATTTGGTTGACCACTGGGTGTGTGGAGGGCTAGCCTAATTTCGCACTTTCGAGTTTCGCATCTTTCGCATATTCCAGCGCGAAAACTTTCGCATTCCGCATTTCGCCTTTTATTTTTAGATTTCGCCCAGCCCTGGTGAGTAGACTGCTTGAAAGTTATTCCTTTTGACACCTCGTTTTAAGATATTATTTTTCGGCTTTAAGTGTTAGGTTTTTATAAGTGAGGTTTAAGTTTAAAATTTTTTTCTTTTTTAGAAAGAAAGTCATCTAAGAGAATATTTACCAATTATTAGAGACAAACCTCTTTATCCAGTAATTTATGATTCACAAGGAATTGTTTGTTCTTTACCTCCAATAATTAATAGTGATCATTCAAAAATTACTTTAAACACAAAAAATATTTTTATCGAGGCTACTGGAACTGATTTGAAAAAATTGGAAATTGTTTTGGATACTGTTGTTACTATTTTTAGTCAATATTGCAAGGAACCTTTTTTGTAAGTTTTTAATAAGAATTTGACATTAGTGGAATTGGAGTTAATATTTCAGGGTTGAACCTGTTGAAATTGTTGATGGAAAGGGCTCTTGTGTGTATCCTGTATGTTATAATATTGATTATTTTTAATTATTTAATTTTTTGTAGAAATTTAAAGCCTGGAAGGGTAAAGTGGATGTTAAAAATATGTCAAGAAAAATTGGAATTGCTCCGATTAACGTTGATAAAGCAATGCAATTTTTGGCTAAAATGTCTTTGAGTTGTTCGAATGTTGAAAAGAATGAAGCACAAATTGAGGTTATTTTTTAAAATATTCTCTTTATCCAAAAATTATGGGAAAAAAGATTTTTCTGGCACGTTTACAAAAAAAAACAAAAAATATATCCAAAGAAAAAAATTTTTTAAAGGTTAAAGCACCGCCAACAAGACACGATATTCTCCATGAATGTGATTTAGTTGAAGATTTAGCTCTAGCTTTTGGTTATAATAATATTCCTCCATTATTGCCTCAATCAAATACAGTTGCCGAACCTTTTAATTTAAACAAACTTTCTGATCAATTGCGTTTACAAATGGCAATGTCTGGTTGGACTGAAATAATGAATTTTGCTTTATGTTCCACAGAAGATGTTGGAAATAAATTGAGAAGGCCTGAACTTGAATTGAAAAGTGTTGTTAAAATTGCAAATCCAAAAACATTGGAATTCCAGGTTTTTTAATTAATTGAAATTTTTTCAAATAAACAACATTGGGGTTTTATTTTTAAAGTCCACAACTTAAAAGTTTAGGAAAACATGCAATCCAAATATTTTTTCTCATTTAGACGATATTTTTTCTTATAGGTTGTTCGAAATTCTTTACTTCCCGGCATTTTAAAGACAATTTCAAATAACAAAGATATGCCTCTTCCTTTAAAACTTTTTGAAGTTCAAGATGTTGTTTTTATTGACAATAATAAAGGTTTTTTGTTAAAAAAATAAATTTTACATAAATATTTTTTGAAGATACAAAATGTCGGAATGAGAGGCATTTGGCAGCTGTTTTTTATAGCAAGAATGGGGCTTTCGAAATAATCCACGGACTTTTGGATAGAATAATGCAAATGTTAAATGTTAATTATATTGAGAATACTAAAGATTTTAATGGAGAAATTAAAGGATATAAAATACAACAAAAAGATGGTTTGTGTTTTTTAGAATTGATTTTAAGTGGGGGGTTACGAGGGAATTTTTGGCAAAGAAAGGAAAGTCAGAATAGACACCCATCCAGCGGCTAGAGTTGTTAGAATTTTTCTCAGTTTACTTTTTTTACATATTAATTTGATTAAAATTTACTTTTTTAGATCCAACTTTTTTTGATGGAAGATGTGCTGAAATTATTTATAAAAATCATTCAATTGGCACTTTTGGAGTTCTTCACCCTGAGGTTATTAATTCTTTTTCTTTAGTCAACCCTTGTTCTGCAGTGGAAATTAATATTGAAGAATTTCTTTAAATTATATTTAAAAAATTGTTGTTTCTTCACAAATTATTTTAAATTATTTGTTTTAATTGGAGGGGATTTAAGTTAATTTTTCAAATGTTTGAGCTTTGCTTTTTATACAGAGATGAGTAAATTATGTGTATTTTATGATAGCAAGTAAAATAAAAATTCTCATCCTTTGACCATTCCCTCATCTCTGTAAGGTTTTGTTTTGTTATATTGTTTTCCTTCTTAAAAATTCTCAATAAAATTTTAACTTTTTAAAATTAATATATTTTCATTTATTATAAATATTTTTTAATTTTTTCCTTTAAACCTGATAATTTTTAAAGAAATTTTCTTTATTAAAATGTATAGCGATGCTTTTTTAATTATTTTTATTGCGTTGTTTACCGCTTTGTTGGGAGAAGGACTTACTTGGTTGCTTGTTTATAGGTTTTTTAATTTTAAATATTTTTAATAATTTAATAATTTTAAAGATCAGAGGAGTACAAACGTTTAAAATATTCAATGGAAAGAAAAACAAAAAAATTAGAAAAGAAAAAGGAAACAATTGGGGCTGTGGATCAGGGGGTTGGGACTGCAAATAGTGCTAGCAAAACAACAAAAAGGAAAATTGAAAGGGAAGAGGAACGTTTAAAGTCTACGAATAGAGATCTTTCAATGTTTCGAATGAAGTCTATGTAAGTATTTAGGCTATCTGAAGATGTTAAAATTAAATCTCTTATAACATAAACCCACAACCTGTTCAATAACAATTCAAAAGATGGGCTCAGAGTCCCAGGTGTACGCGAAACCGTTCCCTGAAAATCTCAGGGAAAACAGCTTCACTTACCCAACGGGACTTAAAGCACATCTTATGCTATAAGTAGAATAAGTAGGGGACGGGTGGGGCTTAGCCCTGAAATCTGACCCTAGTTCATGCCCGCTCTGGCCTTTAGTTTATTTATCTTGCTCCTTACATCAAAATTATTTAAAATTTTTATTTTTCCTGCGAACATCTCTCTCTGCCTTATCGTCAAAAAACTTAAAGATTTTTAACATTTATTTTTAAGGATGGCGATTGGTTTTGTTTTTACAACTTTATTGAGCACATTTTCTAGTATTTTTGAAGGACGTGTTGTTGCCAAACTTCCATTTGAGCCTATTTCCTGGGTCCAGGGTTTAAGTCATCGAAATCTTGTTGGTAAGTTTCTTTGTAATATTAAAAATTGAAGTATTGTTTCCGAGGAATTTTCAGATTTCCATATTTCCCCGATAAGAGTTTTGTAATCTAGAGTATAAAATTTAAAGAAAGCGTCATCTCTTAAGAAACAGCTTTCCATTCATTTTTAATTTTATAATTAAATCTTTTTTTAACTTTAAAGGTGAGGATTACACCGATTGTAGCTTTATTTTTCTCTATATTTTGTGTACAATGACTTTACGCCAAAATTTACAAAAAATGCTTGGGTTTGCCCCATCACGAACTCTCAGCCGTCAAAATCAGGGTGGATTCTTTGGGCAAAGTTCTCAATCCAATCAACTCTTTCGGTGAATTTAAATGGAAGGGGATAATTGAAATTATTTGATAACAATTATTATATATTTTTTGTTCTGTCAGTTCAAAATTTAAATCCTCAATTAGATAAAATTTTGCTCATACATATGTCATCGGAATTTTCTATTTAAAAAAATAAATTTCAAAATGGCTAGTAAATCAATTGTCGATTTTCTAGTGATGACATTAGGTCAAAAAAATTTTAAATTATACGGTATTTTTTCATGAAAGGATTTTTCGGTGATATTTTATTTAAATTAAAATTCGAAAAAAATTGTAAAAAAACTTTATTTAAAAATTTCCAAAAGAATTAAAGTAATGAAATTTGAATAAAAATTTATTAAATTGGGCTAATGTATTAAATATATATGTAATGGAGAATATATACATATTAGAGACGTTCAAAATTCAGTCTTAATTCCTGGTAAATTTTTGGTTTTGAACATCTCTAAAAATAATAATTTTATGACTAGTAGTAAATTGTAAATGCTTCAAAAATTATTTTAAAGAAAATTTCTATAATTAAAATTCCTGAAAATTAAATGCCGAGAGAGAAAAATAAAGAGAATGCCTTTATAAATATTTTTGGTCTTTCATTATTTATTAATTTTGTCAATACTTCCATTAGAAGAACGGTAAGATGGTGGAGGAGAACAGGCACGAATATTTGGAGGGGGGATAGTTTCGCTAATTGATGAAATTGAATTTGTTGTTGTTTGTTGTGGTAATAATGGTCGACGTGAATCTATAACCATACAATTATTATTAAATGATGTTGAGTGTTGTTGTGGTGGTGGGGCTATTGACTAAAAAAATTAAAATTAATTAAAATAAAAATTTTATTTTCTAGGTAAAATATTATTTTTAAGCAAAAAAATAAAGAAAAAATTAAAAAATAATTTTAAAATTCCCAAAATAATTTAGGAAAGGTTCACCAAAATTTTATTGTTTTCTTGTTAAAAACCCCAAAAAAACATTTAATCTAAACTACTTCAAAACATTAAAATAAAAATTAATGACCACCAACAGGATTCGAACCGGAATCAGCGAAATTCCAACTTATTAATTTTTCTCAATAATAATAAATTATTACAGAATCTTCTTCCCTTCTTAACTATTTTTTTAAATTTCGTTTTATTTTCAAAAATACAATTTATTTACCCATTCTCCACTTGCCGAATACTTAGCCTTTTCCTCCCTTTCATGTTCTTTAATAGCTTTCATGCAACGATTTATTGTTTGGGGAGTTAATGGTTGATCATAACGCCTGTTATTTGGAATTCCCCCAAAACAATCACAAAAACAACAACCCCTGAACATCTGAAAAGAAAGAAATTTAATAAAAATATGTATAGTCTCTGCCTCCTTCACTATAGGAGACCCCCAATATTAAATAACCTTCTATTTAAGATACGAATACCTATATCGGTATAAATCATTTTTAGGCTTCAAAGGGGGTATTTTATAGTGAGATTTGACTGTAATAAAATTTTAGCAAAAAAATTTTTTTGATTTAAAAATAAATCAAAAATTCTTTTAAATAAATATATTTGTTCAAAACAATTTTATAATTTTTGTTTTGATATTTCAAGGAAAATATAAAAAGGGAAAATTAAAAATAAAGGGCCAACTGCTCACAAAATGAAAAGCTTTTTTAAATAAAATATTTTTAATTAAAAAATATTTATTTTTTAAATTAAAACTCCAATTTTTGTAAAAAAAGATTTTATCATTTTCCCCCATTAAAAGAGTATCTATTTATTTATTTAAATTATTCATTTTTTGTAAAAATAAAAAATGGAAAAAAGGCTTTTAATGCATTTTTTAGTTAAAAATAATTTTTTAAAAAATATTTAGCTTAAAAAATATAAGAAAAAAGCCAATGGCAAAAAGGAATCGATGAAAGCGGCTGGCTATAAGGCCAGAAATTACTCTCTAACTCTGTTTTGAAAATGAAAAAAGCTACACAAAAGAGATAAAATTCCCTCAAAAAATATATTGGTATTTTTAATGGAAAGAAAAAAAAATATATGGAAATTAGGCATAAAAACCTCATTTTTTACCCTTGGGGTTTTAAAAATAATATTTTATAATTAAATAGAGAGTGTAGCTTAAGGTCCAAGCTTAGAATCCCCCAAGACTCTCTCTCCGTCACAAAACAATCGTCCCTACTTTAATCAAAATTCTCAGGGTACTTATCGAGGGCTTTTGAATGATAAAAGATTTATGTGAATTGGATCAGGGATCAAAAAGTTAAAGCCTATCAAATTCGGCTGGCACCCGGTTTGTGGGCGAATAACCGATAAGTACCATTCTCAATTCTGGATCCAAATATTCGAAAATTACCCAGAATACGCTCCCCTACTCAGCCAATTAACTTCCAAAAATAACATCTTTCATTAAGATTTATCTAAATATTGGATGCATTTTATAGTGAAATTAGACTGTATTATTTTTTAATAAATTAAAAAGAATTTTTAAGAAACAAAAAAAAGTTCCAGAAAGTTATTTAATATCTCATAAAAATATTTTTCTTTTAAAAAATCTTTTCCGGCTGTTCTCTTTTTTATAAAAATAAAAGCGCGCGAAAATCCTTTTCCTATTTTCTTTTGTTTTATTTTAAAAGATTACAAGAAGAAAAAATGTTTAGGAAAAAAATATGAGAACAATAAATAAATAAAAAAAGAGAAAATAAAGGCTAAATAAATAAATAAAGTTAAAAATAATTTTACTGAAATTTTTTGAAAAATTAAAAAATTTAATTCCCTCCCCCCTTCCCTCCCCTCCTTACCATAAACAAGGAAACCATAATTAAAGCCAACAACATAAAAACAAGTAAAAACCAAATAAAAGAATTTCCAGAAAATGTTGATTGTGTTGTTCCCCCAATTAAAGCCATTGCTTTGAATGTTTGGTTGATGGTGGTTAAGTTGGGTAAAAGTAGAGGAGGAGTGGGAGAGGGAGGGGAAGAGGGGAATGTTTTGTTTAAAGTTTTGTTTGTTGTTTTATTTAATGTTTTGGATGTTGTTTGTTTTGTTTTTTGTTGTTGACAGGCTATTCCAACATAGTCGAATGGACACCTTTAAATATTTTATTTAATAAATTTTGAAAAATCAAAAATTAATTTTCCTTATAAAAATTGACAGCTGGCCATTGAAAATATAGTAAAGAAGCTTAAAGGAAAGAGTAAAAGATAAAAAGAGAATTTGTTATCTTTTTTTGAAAAAATGATGAAAAGGAAGGGGAGGGAGAAGGTGGAGTTTGTTGGCACATGAATTGATTGAAAATGGAAAAAAAGGCTTTTTTAAACAAAAACGTCGAAAAAATTTAAATGAGGATTTAAATTAGAAAATTTGTTTGATTTTTAAGGGTTGATAGGGAAGGGATTTGAATTAAATTTAATTTAAAAAATTTTTAAATTTTTTTTATTCCCAACTAACTACCTGCATTTAAGCTTTCCATGACTTTTTTTAAATAAATGTTTATCTGCATTAGAAGCAAATGTTAAATTCCAAAGGTCACATTGTTCTAAATTAATTGTTGATATATCTGAAGGCAATATGTTTTTCAATAAAGGATTTAATGAAGAGGAAGAGGAGAAAGAAGAATTGTTTGTAAATAAAAGAGAATCTTTTAAAAGGAAATTTTTGAAATTGAAAAATAATTTATTCCCAACAAACCAGTAACATCAACAGCAACCCAATCAGTGGGGTCCCATTGATGCCTAATTCTGTCTAAAGGTTGTTTTGAAGGAGAGGAGGGGGAGGAGGGAAATTGAATAAAAGGAACACCACCAAAACAACAAAGAATTAATAAATCCATTTAATCTAATTAAAAAAATTAAATTATAAAAAAAATTAGTAATTATTATAAACTCAGGCCTAATTAAAAGATACTTCCTTGAAGCCGAAATAAGAGTATTTTATAATAAAATATCTTAACTATAAGTGTAATTACAAAAAGCTTAATTGGACAAAAAGCTTAACTCCGTCAAACTTTTGGAACTCCCAAACTCAAAACCGACAAAATTTTAGAACCGTTAGCAGCCGTTTTTACTAAATTCTTTCACACACACCATTATAACTTTATATACAGGTTTTATTTACAATACAAACAAAAACAAGGTAATAACACATATGTACAACAATAGGCAAATTATTATGGAACGAGGATAATCGAATTATTATCACATTTACTATCCAACAGCATGTTCCTATCCAATCGGCTGATGATCATTCCTCCTCTTTGCTACTTATTCCGCGATCAACGGCACGTTCAGTTTGAACTCCGACGAACTTCCAGGAGGAAACAGCGCCTTTGCTTCAGTAGCATCTGCTGGAGCAGGAATGAAGTGAACTTCCAGACGACCATCAGCTTTCGGAGGGCCTTCCTGAAGAAACAAAAATTTATTTTATATGATCTTTTGCCTTCTTTCACCGTTCGACGCACAAGAACCGCAGCATTACCGGATGCGTCGACAAAACCGAATACGGGGTTGACACGGTAATGATCGTTGTCGGTGCACTTGACCTTGAAGGCATAGCGACCCTGTAAAAATTGAGATGGTTAAACTACATTAGAAGCCCTAAACACTAAATAAAATGATGCATACTTCAGCGCTGCTGTTCTTCAGCTGTAGCGTGATTTCACCTCCTGCAGCGGGCACCTGAATTGACTCCGGATCGAGCGATACTGCCATCCTTGAAGAGATGTTGTCGATCGTTGAAGTGTAGAGTAGAGCAACTGTAAAACCCGGAGATGGAGAGCGCTTTTATATGTACTTAGATGCACGACGGCCAAACTCCAAAATAATGACAAAAAGTAACTTATAACAACGTCAATGAATAATTCGACTCCGAAAAACTTCCAAGAGAGAATTTTACTAACCGCCACGCTTAGCATTTTGAAATATAGCATCGAACTTGACGGGTAGCAATCTCAAAGCTGTTAGTTTAGTATAACTATTTTGATCTACAGCGGCAGCTTCGCACACTTCTCTCTCCTATGTAGAACACACCTTGTATTTGGATGAAAGACGTATTTTAAAAAATGAGTTTAAAAAATTTTTTGTCAAGAGTTAAATGTTATCATAAATTTGAATAACGAGAGCGTTTATTGAACAAAAAAGGATTATTTTATAGAAAGTTAAAGAATTATCAGAATATAAAGTTGGTAGCCATTTATTCTTCCTATGTACTTGTTATTAAGGTGATGCAGGAGCAACCCCGATTACCTACTAACAGCTTTGAGATTGCTACCCGTCAAGTTCGATGCTATATTTCAAAATGCTAAGCGTGGCGGTTAGTAAAATTCTCTCTTGGAAGTTTTTCGGAGTCAAATTATTCATTGACGTTGTTATAAGTTACTTTATATTTCGGTGTTTTGGAATGACCGTCGTGCATCTAACACTAAGTATAAAAGCGCTCTCCATCTCCGGGTTTTACAGTTGCTCTACTCTACACTTCAACGATCGACAACATCTCTTCAAGGATGGCAGTATCGCTCGATCCGGAGTCAATTCAGGTGCCCGCTGCAGGAGGTGAAATCACGCTACAGCTGAAGAACAGCAGCGCTGAAGTATGCATCATTTTATTTAGTGTTTAGGGCTTCTAATGTAGTTTAAAGTAGTTAACCCCCCGGTTTTCGCACAAAGGGATGCCGCCATCCTTTTGATTGATGATCAAAGGGATGCCGCCAACCTATGGGAGGGGTCTGGGGGAGGGGTCCGAGAAATCCTGTGGATATGGGGGGATTTTGTCGGCATTTTCTTTTGATCCTGTCGTAAGGGTGATTAATTATTAATGGGGGGAGGGGTCCGAACTAATTAGTACCTAATTAAATATTAATGGTGGAGGGGTCTGAATTAATTAGTATCTAATTAATTATTTTGGGGGAGGGGTCTGAACTAATTTGCTTTTACTAATTTATTACAAATTGCTTTTTTGCGGTAAAAATTTTTAATTAATCCTTCAAAATACAAAATAGTAGGAGGGGAGGAGGGGGATTTATGTAAGTATAGAGTAGAGAAATAAATTTTGTAAACAAATTCATTTCTCTGACTTATACTAGAAACCCCTTCTATCAAACATTTGAGTCTGAGTGTATACTGTCACTCATCCATCCGTCCTCAATTGCTTTCTTTTCCTACGAAGATGAACAACTTTCCACGCATTGCTTTTTATTGATTCTTTTTATTTTCTTTCAGTTTTATTTATTCCAAATTAAAAAAATATGCGGTTAAGTGCTAGACATTTTGTTATCTAATTTGAATTTTTATTTATTTTAGATGAACGTGGACAAGTCCTAAACACGTACCAAGCTTATTTATGTTTAAGGTCTTGTTTCTCAGATTTGCTTATTGACCTGAATTTGGCGTAAAGAAAAAATTTAACTTTTTTAATATTAAATACCAATGTTTGTTTAAATTTTAAATTACTGTTTGTATGCGATTGTTAAATTAATTTCTTAAATGGGAAAAATTCATCAGGGGTATTTTTAAATTTTTTAAACTTTAAATTTTTTAAAAATAAAAATAGTTTTAAATTATAAGGAAATTAAAAATGTTAAAAAATCTTATTTTATTAAAAAACTTATTTTACTCCGATAAAAAATTTTTGTATGGCTATGTTTTTATCAAATAATTGGGGACCATTTATGGTAAAAATATTATTTTCATTTCCCGCAGTTCCACCCCCAGAAGATTGCAAAACTTCCCAAAAAATAAATATAATGTTTTACTAGTTTTGTGATTTTAATTAAAAAATTTTTTTAATTTCAATTCTCAAAAATTCAGTTTGAGCGGTGTATACGTTTTGTGTCGATGCAGAACAAACTTACTTTCAACCTGTTATTTCACGTTTAACGAATGCATTGATGCGACGGTTTGATACGTTTTACTAAAAAATCTGCGCAAACACGCGTTTTTTAACGATAGTGTAGAGCGGATTCAAACAGTGCAAGCACGCGCCAATGGCGATAGTGTAGAACTGTTTGTAATAAAAAAACCGTCGCATCAATGCATTCGTTGGTAATGTCCTGATTTTTACAAATGTTTTAACTTTTACTATTAAAATCGCAAAACTAGTGGGAGTAATTCAAAAGATTAAAAAGTCCCTAATAGATTTAATATAATGGTTTTAAGATTACATGATTTTAAAGGTAAAAGTTATTTATCAAAATTACAATTCACCACAAATGCACTCTTATGAGTTGCGTCGAGATGAATTGTTTCAGGGCAGCACACATGCACCTGCGCAAGCAGAGTTGCGTCGAGCTGTCCTGATTTTTACAAATTTTTAGCTTTTACTATTAAAATCACGTCCCGAACTTTTACCACCGGTACACTACACTATATCCAAAATCCTTAAAATATTGGGGTGTTTTCCTTTACCCCTAATGTTTTTTGGGGTTCAATCTTCTGCGGGTGTACAGGTTTTAATTTTTGAACTATTTGGTTAAAATTAACTTTTTAACAATTTATTTCAACTTTATTTTCATTGAAAAATTTTACAAACAGTAAGTTCAATTACATTTCCTCATCGGTTTCTGAATCTAACATATGGACATCTTGCTGAACAAAATCCATATGATTTTCAGCTCCCTCCGGTTCCAGAAAATAGTTATTTCTCAGCTAAATAAATATATTTTGTATCACAACTTCCGGTATACTGAGTTTTAGTGTCCCCTTATTTTTTAACATATTACATAATGGTCAGACTTTCTCCTTTCCCCAATTTAACTCAATTCCCTATGGCAAGTTCAATGAGAGACTTTAATAATTGAGTGCCCCAATCAGTGTTTGACCCAAATATTTATTAAAATTACATTAAGACGATCCTCCAAAATAATTATACGATTTTGAAGATAATTAACAGTCTCTTGCAAAACATGTAATTGTTGTCGTGCTTGAATAATTATCATATTTTGATTTTCTAGTGTAGTTCGAAGCTCTTGAATTTGATCTTGAGCATTTTCAACGTTTAAAGATAGCTTATCCATTAGTTTACTCAGTCCCAAATCAATATTTTGGGTGTTGTTGTTGTCCATTATTAGTTAAATGAAATTATCCTATAATATTAAGTTAAATCATGAAAGAAATGGAAAAAAGTGTATATCCTACCCGAGAAAATTTATTCCCTATCATTTTCAATCTTTTCTGCCAAACTGTCAAAAACTACAACAGATGCAGCTGTTGTTTTTAGGAAAGGCATATATTGAGCGGGATCTTTGAGATGGAAAAGAATTACGTATATTATTGTAATTTATATTTAATAAAGAGGGAACATATAATTTTAATTTAAATAAAATATTATAAATATATTTAAGAAAAATATTATAAGTTTATTTAATAAATAGAGACGAAATTACAAAAATTTTAATCAAGCTTATTAATCGTCAATTTTTAAATTTGAAAATTCTTTAAGCAGCTTTTGTTCTTTCATGTTTTGAATAAATATTTGCTGATCTCGTTGTCGCATTTTCAGGAGACGGATACGCAGTGGTTCCGGATTCTTATATTTGAATAATTTATCCTAAAATTTTATATAAAATTATTTTAAAAATTTTACCTCTCTGTGATTAAAATGATAATTGTTCATCTTTCGGTTTTTATAATTTTGTTTTTGTTCTAACTTTCTTAGTCCATGTCGCATTTTTAGGATACGGATGTGCAGTGGAACAGGTTTCTTATTCTTTTAGTTCAATATGTTATATTCAATTAATTTAAAAATTCTACCTCTCTGTGATTAAAACGATGATAATTGTTCATTTGCCGATTTTTACAATTTTGTTTTTGTTGTAATTTTCTTAGAGCATGTACACCAAGTGGCAACTCATAATGAGCTTGTAGTTTCTAAAATTTTTGATTAAATTGATAGTAAAGATGATTACCGATTCATTTAGATAATATTTAATATTATATTTATTCATTATTTATATTAAAGTATTAATTTCAATAGAATTTAAAAGATTTTCTCAAGGTCGTTCGAATTGTTTATTTGAAATGATGTCTATAATTAATACATAAATTAAACATCTGTCAATGTATTGAAATAAAATTTTATGATTGATGATTTTTCTCAAGGTCATTCGAATTGTCGTAAACAATACCAATACTAATATTCAAAAAATTATACATCTGTCGTTTAAAATATTTGCAAAAATTGGGGGACCGTATAATTTTTATTAAATTATTTTTTGAAATATAAAGTATCATGAAATTTTGATCGAGTATAAAAGGCGAAAACTTTTTTGTATCTTAAAAATTTAATATCTTCATTTTTTCAAATTTTTCGAAATGCTCTATCTAATCGATGAATGCGCTAAAATTCTACAATGCCACCCAAAGTCATTACGAGATAATTTACATCACCCGTCAAAGCGAGCTTTACTCATATCAAAGCTTAAAGGAAGAAAAGTTCGAACTCTTTACTCAGACAGGAACGGATTCCGCAAGACATTTATTATATATGATCTGACATACAAGGGTGCCCACTGTACTTTGGCCTACGGTGCTTTATCTCGTCCTTTTAATGTTTCCGTCGCAGCACACTTTTATTCACGACACCGAATTCGGTTACAATATCCTTATCTGCAGTGTGTCATTGAACACTTTCCACGCCGGTGTGAAGATCGATTTTATCCTCTTGAATTATTGGAGTTTGTTGATGAAAAAGTTGAAGATTACATTGGTTTTCCTATCGACGACAAACCACTTTATACTAAAGTTTCTAAAAAACTACAAATTGACAAAGAAACATCTGATTCGGACAAAAATACGGATGACCCACTAATTTTCACAGATGATTTTGACGAAATTAAAGGATGGTGATTTTTCTTATTCTCTTTTAACTATTCATTCTGCATCTTTTCCTTAAAAATAATAAACTTCTTTCCCTAAATTTGAAACTAAGTTAAAAAATATTCTCTTCCAACCCTTAATTCTGCAATTTTCCCCTAAAAATTATAAACTTCTTTCTCTTAATTTTATAACTTAAATTTATTTATTTTTAATTTATTTTTAAACTGTTTCTTCTTATTAATATTGCATTTTTACCCCTAATATTTTATACTTTTAGTAATTAATTTCGCATATAAAAATAAATTTTATTACAAAATATTACAAAATACAATTAATTGGCACCAAAATCTAATACAGTAAAATCACTAGGCCTAACAATTCCTTTCCCTACAAAGGGACGGTACATTTTCTTTAATGGTTGCGTAAATACAGAGCCTTTTCTTACAGACGGGCGAAGAAAATTGGGATAATTTAAGTTTAGTGGAGGACAATTACCGTTAACAAATTGAAATAATTTTGATTTAAAAGTTTCATAGTGTAATTGTTGGTTCACAGTCACATCCCAATTCAAAGTAATACCTCTCAATTTAATTACATGTACTAAGCCCGCATCTGGATCATTATTTCTTTGAAGTTGAAGCGCATATTGTTTGGCACCAGCTGAACAATATTCCAGTATTCTATGACGAGGGTACTCATCAGTAAAGTCACCCAAGTGCGGTCCAAGCTTGAGTGGATTATCCTCTTCAGGGTGCACAAAAATAATCGAATCTGTGTCTGAAATTAAGATTATATTAAGGTTAAAAGCAATATTTACCTGTGTACAGAAGTTTACATCCTGTACTTCTGACCACCTTTTGCATTGCCTTTAGCAAATATATTCTCGCCATGGATGTTGTCCATAACGAAATAACTGAATTTTTCAACAAAATTTAAAAAAATTTTAATTAATACTTACCGACGTTCGAGCATCCGTGTTCTTCCACCCAATCCTTTTTTGTCAAATGAGAGATCAAGATGATGTCAGGAGTCAATTGATCTACAGAAGACACTTCCTTGGTTGAATCATCCACAATTTTTCGCCAGGCTGCAGGGCTGTCTGTGATTGTACACTGACTCAGGCCAAAATTTCTAAGAGAAAAACGACCCCCTAAAATTTAAATTTTTATTCTATTAAAATGAAGAAAAACTTACAAAGATTATTCAGACACAATTTTGCCTGAGTACGTTTGCCTTTGTTGGGGACCTAAAATTTTTATTATTTATATAGAAAATTAAAATTACCATTTTATTTCGATCAATGGTGATGTCAAATTTATCCGCGCATTCTCGAATAAATTTCTCTTCGGCCTCCCAATCTCCCTTGATCGAGTTATCAAATCCTGATGAGTGAATTTTCTGACTCATAAACTCTGAAATGTAGCCACGAAACAGACTGTTGTCACTTGAAGTGTATTCAAGAACACGAAAAAGCCTTGTGACTTTATAACCACAATCGAGAGCTTCATTAAGCTCTATGGAAGTGCATGTTGAGACCCAGCCGCGTTGATTATCTTCATGCACACATTTATAATCTTCATCTATCCCTCCTTCAGGGTGTTCTTTTCTTAAAATTTTCAAAACTTTAGAATTATTTTTTGAAACTTACGCGCAAGCGATACAGAGAGGGAATAACAATCTATCATTAGATTTAACAGGTAACACAGGAACATCAATTTTCTTGGGAGGGATAACAAATACCTGTAAAATTTAATTTTCATTCAAAAATTTTTTGTATTACCTTTAGAATAGCCAAATCATATTTATTATCTTTTGAACTTGTCCAACAAACAGTTTCATTCAATATGTGAGGAATGGGATGACCAGTTGGATAATTTGTCGTGACATTAATGAACGGGTACAATGAAGTTACATCGTAGTAACTTATCTTTTCACCAGGTTGAGCAGAATAAAACAGTTTAAGCGGACCTGTTCTCCCACCAAAAAATGCTGAGCGGATATCAATCGGACCATTATCAAGGTACTCATCAAATTTCTTCTTCATTTCTTTATCAATCTTCAACATTGTTTTTATCTCGCATTCCCAGTAAACTTTAACTTCTTGGACTTGTGACTTAATAAAGTTGAGCCTCTTCTTATCCAATTCACGTTGTCGGCCAGCTGTCTTTCCAGAAGGCAATACAATTCCTTCGTCCGGGTAACACTTGATGCATGCATGCCAACAGCACCCATTCACCTCAATTCCTAGTTTTTGATCTTCAACCCACCCGTCTAGACGATAATTCCCAATTCTTAAACATTATTTTAAAATTTATCTTTTTTTAATTCAATTACCTTTTTTCACCATCAACAGAATTAGCCGTTTGAACAATAACTCCGTTTGCTTCACCATACCATTCCAAGAATTTCAATGCTAGTAGACTTTGATTATCTTTGTTGTCGTAGCCTCGTTCTGGTACAATAGCGAGATGATCATCCTTGAGATGATTGGACCGGAAGTGCTTCATGCAAGCACTTGCGATGGTCATAGACTCGCGCAAGACATCGATTCCTTCATTTCCACGTTTTGAAACCTAAAATATTATTTTTTAATTTATAAAAAATTTAACCTCTATGAATTCTTTTCTAAAAGCAACAAGTGCAGCCATTAAGATTTCGACGTCGTTTTTACAATAGGAAGCCAAAGATTCATCAAGGTTGAAGGGTTCTAGATGATGTTGGTCGTACCACAAATCAAACTTTTTCCTCTTTTCCGGAAGAAAGCCATCTGCCAGATAATCTGCCTTCGTTGGATAGATTTCTTTTCCGTAGTTGCGTGGATGGTTCGCCAAGTGCGGAAAATATGGCTTGTCTTCAACCTGTAGGCCAAATGCAGGTACTAGTGTTGCAAGACTCATAGGCATTAAATTGAAGCTGTCCCTGAAGATGATGTCCCCTTTCTTCTTCCCTCGTGAAGTTACTTTCATTTCATACATCTTGTTGCCTCTTTTTAACATTTCTGGAGTAAAACCTAAAAGTTCGATTATTTGATAAAAAGATAAATAATTAATTACCGTTAAGAAACAATTCTTTGAAGACAAGGACCATATCAAAACGACCACCAAAATGTGAAAAAGCGAATGTATCATGTTCTTGAGGTAAACCGTTAATTATCCATTCAACAAAAGTCTTCAAAGGGTTTTGGCTGATGAACATTTTATCCACGACTGTATTTGTAAATGGACGATGAGAGAAAGTTAAAGTTCTATATTGACCACAAATTTGACATTCTTTTTCCTATAAATTTTTTAAATTAATAAAATTTAAAATTTAGTTACCTCTATAATACATTCCGGGCATGTAACCTTAGCACAGATAAAGTTTGCTTCGTGTTTCTTCCCTTGTTCGGTAGGTAGATATTGAGTGGTTTCGAGATCAAAGGCTATAAATCTGTACTTCTTAACTTCTTTAGGCTCTAGAGTCTTGATGAAGCATCCGCGTTTCGGATCATGGTAATCATGGCAAGTTGAGCAATGACGTTCGCCGCACACGTGACCCTGACGCCCTCTCTTATTGTTGTCCTTCACATTCCAAATAACCCCACATTCTTGACATTCTTTCGAAATATTGCAGAAGCCACAATTGAGGTGATGCCGATAACAGTTGTTATTGAAGAATGTCTTGGAACAATGCTGGCATAATTTGTAGAATCCCCCAATAATTTTGCAGGGGAAGCCGGGACCAACTCTAGAACACCTTTTACACCTAGCTTTACAAGAAATTTTATGTGTCACGTCTCTGTCGTACACCTTTTCACAGTGTAAACAATATGGTTGTCCAAATAAACCTCCTGTCTTCTTTACTCCATCAAAGTGTTGATTATTGTAGTAGAGAATGATTGCAGTATCAAAATTATCAGGACCACTTTTAAACTCTGGTTCATAGTAACCCAACGATCCGAAGATGAAGACTTTGAATATATGCTTTCCAGAATACTTGTTGTTCCAGTAGTTAACAACAATGGGAACCCATTGTTCAGCGTTATATTCCTTTAAGTTTGTTGGTGCTCCAATAATATTCATCAATTCTAAAGCATCTTCTCTAAGTTTATTTGCCATTCCATGTTGACTTTTGATGTAACGTGAGAACTTTTCCCAGTGCCAATTAAATACCGTGTGAACAAGTGTAGCTACTAAGGAATAGAATAGACAGAAGGTATTATTGTTGTTTTCGATCTAAAATTAAAAATTATTTTAATAATCCATGATTCATTGCCTATCTAATTAATAATTTTAATTCCCACTTTACTTTAATCGATCTAAAGATGTTTATTTTAATTATTTTTCCTGATTAATCCCACACTTACAAATAATTTTTCTTTTATTAAAACATTGATAAACTGACCTTAATCAAAGCTCTTTCATTTATTCGATGACGAACTGGTGCAATTTTTCGATTTCCAGCACCTGGTAGTTTATGTTGTTTAGGTAGGGAGCTTTTGTCAACGACTGTAGCAGTTACAGTGAAGGGTTGTCCCCAAAGTGAGACTTCTTTCTGCCGAAAACTTTGGGCAACCAGGAGAAAACGGTTGAGTATTGATTCAACCGTATTCTCATTTCTATCCCTGAAATAATCGAAATTTTATTAAAGGTTATAACAAATTTAAGGTGACCTGATAGGGATCCAAACATCGTGATCCAGTACAGGGCTACTCACGACGCATCCAATCTGTTCTGCCTTCATTCCTCTATTGAAACTAGCTTCCACAGCTTCATTTAAAAAGTATTGAAAAATCCCTGTAATTTTTATTTATTAAATCAAAAAGTTTTAACTTACTGCTCAGAAGCTCCTCAGGATCCGGAGGCAAGTCCTTGATAAGGAACTTGCTACGGCTTTTCAAAAATTTAAATTTTTTATTTTCTTCAATCGATCCTTCGAGTTGATCGACATAATCCTTTGGTTCTTTTGAAGAACCGGAGCCGCTTTGTAGTCCAAGTAGATTTGTGATGGAAAAAATAGATTGTAGTCCTAAAAGACTTTCAATAGAAAAACGCGATCTTTTTTTCGGTGGTTGTTGATCCATTGTAGAAAAATTATAATAAAGCTAAAAAAATTTATTTAATAAAAAATTATCGATTGTAATAAATTTTAAAAATTAAACAAATGACGAGATAATTACATTTTTACGATATTTATAATTAATTATTCTGTCTTTAAACCTCGTCTAAAATTTTGGCGGGCTTTTTGTAAAATTAAAGCTGTCACGTCTGTAAGAATTTTATTACTGTAACATCTGTCGACAGATGTGTTAAGATCAAAAGATGCCGCCATTTCCCAGACCGTTAATATTTTATGTTTAAATTTCGGGGAAGCCATTTTAATTACCGTACCATCTCGTACCATTCACATTTTTCAAATTTCAAGGACAATATAAAAGCTTGCAGCTTACTATATTACAGTATTATTTTTCTTCTAATTTTTTCGATACTAGTAACAAGAATGGCAGAGGAATCAAAGCATTATTTAATTGAGGTATTTTTTTAAAAAGTTTAATATTATACCAATTATACAAGGGACATGCTAACTACAAAACGTGTACAAGACATAGTTACCTGTCTGCTCTGAATTTATCGTTAAGAAACCATGAAATATTGGACAAGGGTGCTCGAGCTAGTTTTATCTGGCACTATTTTAATGGCTATCACTGGTGCGAGGAATGTTCGAAATTTAATTTGATGAAGAAACAGAAGAAAACCCTTATACCGATAACTGAAAATGTATTTTTTTACTCGTTTTGGTTATGTACGGATTGTGCATTATTTGCTACCGCACCTTAATTACGTTTATTTTCAATATTAAACGATAAAAATTTTGTAAAAAATTAGTGGATAGAAGATGCCAATTTTGGGGGTATTTTAGCAGAATTAAGAAAAAAAGTATAAATTTTGAAATTTTATCCGTATTTTAATGCAAAAAATTAAACATGTAGTGTTGTGTGTGACATTTATTTTATAAGTTTATTAACTACTTTAGTTACAAATAAATCAGGATTTTGAATACTATCTAACATTTTCAAATATTTCTCAAAAGTTAACCCTTGTGATAAAAAATAAGTTAAGGAAATACAATGATGACCACATGTTTTAAAAAGAGGTGATTGATAAGGTTTTAAATTTCTTGTAATTTTAGAAAAACGTATGGGTATTGAACTAATTATACAATCACTTGTAGGTAATGTAAGACTATCAAAATAATATAATTTGTTTGAATTTGTAAAAATAGTTATCCAATGGGATCCTTTCATTCCTTCTGGGTCCATATTGACGATATAGACAGACTTGGTTGATTTAGTGTTTGGTATAAAGTTACAAGGGTAGCATCCTTTGAAAATCTCCCTCGTCGCTGGGTTTGAGTTCAATATCACAGTTATCTGATGACTGTTCATTTCCTTCTATAAAATAAAAATATTAAATTTTATATATTAATTTTTACCTTTAAACTTTTTTCGAGGGAGTACTACTTTTAACCAAAGAAATGAACGTAATTGATAAATAATGAGGCTAATTACAAATAGTATATACAATCCTATCATGCCCCAACAAAAAATATGTCCATATATATTGTTTTCTCCTGGACTTTCCTTACAAAGTTGAATAGTAGGGAAGTTTGGAAAATTTATAGGGATATTAGTGTCAGTTGTAGTTCTTTTTGCTAAATATTCTGCGTATTCAGGGAGATTTTCCACTTTTGAAATATCATCTATACTTAGTGATTCAATAAGAGGAGAAAAAATTCGAATAAGTAAAATAATAATTGGAATTTTATTCATTTTAAAATTATATTACAATATTGATATCTGAATCTATTTATATAGTAGTGTCACTAGCAATAGTACGATTCTTATCTAGAATAATTAATGAGTCTGCTTCTCCCATAGCCACAAGCATAATTCCTCCGTCTGGTACCGGCTGACTAAATTTAATATTCACCGCTGTTGTCCCATTCTTTATCAAATCAAAAAGTCCTCCTTGGTCATCTCCACTATTGGTTAAGTTGAAGATGTATATACAATGAGTAATTCCATACTGCAGATAATTAATTCCATTACTTTCAGAAGAGGTAGCTAATCCGATAGCGTCATTCATGTCATTAAATGCTCGAACATATTTCCCGTTAATGTAATCAAAGTCATATGGGGCTTGGGGGTAACTTCGACCGTTCGCAATAATACTAATTTCGCGAACATTAAAGTGTTGAAAGTTGAAAGGACTTCGTCCAAAATTTCCAACATAGTCAGAGTTAGCAACAAGACCAAGTGTTATTCGCCGAGGTATTTGGTCCATAAAGAGATTGGCATTAAATTCATATCTCCCTTGACTAATAAAGAGGGGTTTCATCATAGTCTTCCTTATAGCATAACGGGCAGGTTTAATGTCAAGTTTTCTAGCAATGTCTAATGCTAGTCCGTCCATAAGATCCATCTTTTTAATATAAAGTTTACAGTTCACAACTTCAAAATAATAACGTGTTGGTTGGGCAATACCAAGAACTGGGGGAGCAATTAAAACAAATTTTGCATCGTTAGGTAAAATTTCAATATCCACTTCGCATTGGTTAATTAAATAAAGTGGTTGATTAAAAATATCGGCATCGAGTTTTGTTATAAACTGAGCCGTTTTACTTGAAGAAAATAAACTTTTACGAGATTCATAGCCTTCTCCACTTTCTAGAGATACGCCAGAATCAAAATAATAGCCAGAAGCATTAAGATGGGAACTTTTTGCTCCTTGGGAATACGATAGCTCGTATGACAAGTAGCTTTTGTAAGCATACAATGAATTTGAATTAAAAATTTCGCGGCCATTAATATTAATTTTCATATTATTTATAAAAGTTTGTCCTATCAATTGAATTGGTGCAACATTGTCTGTTGCGCCCAGATTTACAAGGTAACCATTTTCATTTTCTTTTCTTATTCTAAGTTCGGTAAAAAGGTAGCATTTTGACAAATCAATATAATTTTGGCTTGAATGAATTTTGAAGTGGTAGGGTGTATCTGTAAGAGGATTGCTGGGGAGAATTTCAAAAACTTTAGAAGACGTTACTGTGACATTAGTTGGAGGGATTTGAAAAAAGTCGAGTGCGCTAGTTATAGAGTTAATGCTTTCATTATCAATTTTTTGAAAAGCCATATTTAATAAAGTCCAAAGGCGTCTGATCTTACGCGTTTTTTAACTTTTTTGCCAATAATTGTTTGATATGACGGTATAGCGTTCCTTTTTATACCCTTCTTACGACCAGTACCAAATTGTTTTGGTAATCCTCCTTTGTCTAAAACATTATCGATTCCCTTCCTTCCCTCTTCCTTTAGAGCTGCCTTAAGTGGCTCTCCCTGATTTACTCTCTCTAATACCCTTTGGCCAGTATTTAGTGCTTCCCCTGCCACTGTAGTACCAGCTTGTTTAATAATTGGGAGGAAGAAACGCCAAAGCCCTCGCATTACATCTCCAATTCCTGCACCTCTTTGTGAACTGCCATATCCTCGCTGAAAAGGCGATGATCCTTTGAAGTAACTATATTCGTCAGAAATACCACTTCCCCTCATAGGAACAAACTCTTCATATCCAATAGATCTTGTATCAAAAACTACGTGAACCATTTTGAAAAATTTTATTTAAAATGTTAAATGAAAATTACAATTTTGAGGGTATTTATATACACACGAAAAATGATTTAAAAATTTATAACTTTTTTAAATATCAAAACTATCATCACTGTTCCAAAAGCAAATGGCACAAGTCTTCCCCCATCCATAGTTCTTAATTCAATCTCAATTTCGTTTATTTCTTTGGGAAGCACGCGAATAAAAATAGGTGAATCGTAAATCTTTTCATGATATTCTCCAGGGGTTGCTCCGGAGACAGACACAACTCTTAGTAGAGAACTTAGAGAATTTCCGACTATCATATTCTCGGTTAGACCCTTTGAGTATACAGCAAAACTTGAGAATCCTCCTCTCAAGTCACTCCCGTATTTTGCAATCTCATTATTCATAACCATATTCGAGTTTTCAAAGCCCAGCACATATCCAAGCTGAGGAGAGAAAGATAGATATTTAATATTTGGGTGAGAATATTCCATTTTAAAACGTTTAAAATCTTTGTGAAAGGACAGAGAAATAGAATCTATAATTTGTTTCTGGACAGTAGCATCTATTTTATCTTTTCTTAGATAACTATATTTTTTCAAAAGCCCTTCGATCATTGGTAAATAACTTTCTCTTTGAAAATCAGTAGGGGGTTTTCCTATTACGTGAGTAAGAACTCTTTCCATATCATCAGTCCATTTTATTTTTTGTTGAACGACTGATTTATTTTGTTTTAGTGGAAGAGCTTCAGGGAGTGGAGGAAGAGTTTGTATAGGACGGGGTAGTGATTCCGTTGTTTTTTGAGGAGTTGTAGTAGTAGGTTTTGGCGGAGGAAGTAATTTTTGAGGTGTTGTTTTTTGATGAGGAAGTTGCGTAGGCACAATTTGAGGGGGTGGAGATGGTGGTTTTTGCGACAGTTTAGGGGGTGAATAAAGTTTTTGATTAGTTTTAGGCCCAGGTGTTGGTTTTTGTGGTGTTAGAGGTTTTTGAGTAGTAGGAGGAGGTGGTTGTATAATAGGAGATTTTTGAGTAGTAGGAGGAAGTGGTTGTGTAATAGGAGTTTTTTGGGTAGTAGTAGGTGGTGGTTGTGTAATAGGGGGTTTTTGAGTAGTAGGCGGAGGTGGTTGTGGAGTAGGAGGTTTTTGAGTAGTAGGAGGAGGTGGTTGTGTAGTAGCAAGAGGTTTTTGAGTAGGAGGAGGTGGTTGTGGAGTAGGAGGTTTTTGAGTAGTAGGAGGAGGTGGTTGTGTAGTAGTAAGAGGTTTTTGAGTAGGAGGAGGTGGAGGTGGTTGTGTAGTAGTAAGAGGTTTTTGAGTAGGAGGAGGTGGAGGTGGTTGTGTAGTAGTAAGAGGTTTTTGAGTAGGAGGAGGTGGAGGTGGTTGTGTAATAGGAGGTTTTTGAGTAGGAGGAGGTGGAGGTGGTTGTGTAGTAGTAAGAGGTTTTTGAGTAGGAGGAGGTGGAGGTGGTTGTGTAATAGGAGGTTTTTGAGTAGGAGGAGGTTTCTGAGGAATAGGAGGTTTCTGAGGAGTAGGTTTCTGAGGAGTAGGAGGTTTCTGAGGAGTAGGAGTTTTCTGAGGAGTAGGAGGTTTCTGAGGAGTAGGAGGTTTCTGAGGAGTAGGAGGTTTCTGAGGAGTAGGAGGTTTCTGAGGAGTAGGAGGTTTTTGATGTTGTGTTGTAGAAGGTTGTGGTAGTCTAGGAGGCGAAGGAAGTTCGGGAGTTGTAGGTCTTTTAATTTCTTGAGATGGAGGCGCAGGTTTCTTTGTTGGCGGAGTAGGTGACGATGCTTTTGCAGAATCAACCAATCGTGGAGGAGAACCAGGCTTTATCCTTGGAGGCGATGGTAGAGTCTCCTCCAAACTTCGTTTTGGGCGTCCAACTCTTGGAGGTGAAATTAGAGTTGGCCTATCGACAAAACTATCAGTTTTATTTTGAGGAGATTCTTCAAGCGATCCACTCTGGTGTTGTAAAGTGGAGATTAAAAAATTAAGTAAATCTTCAGGTTTATTGTGAGAACCTCTTGGGACAGGGACCCTTATGACTTTAGCCATTCCTTTAAAATCTGTACAGTGAATAGCAATCCATTGTTCGTCAAGAGTACCAATCGTTGAAGGCCATGAATATGGGTATGAGATGCTATGTAAACCGCATACCCAGTCTCCCGAAAAATAAATTGGTTTCGGGAGATGAACTCGAAACTTATTTGGCTGATTATCTGGATAATCAGTTGTATTACTTAGCAAACACACGTAAAAACTGTTAGACATTTTATAACAAATAAATATATACAATATGAAAAACGACTTTTATACTAATTGATTCTCGTGTATCCATTCCCTCTCCGGGTATCCAATAAATTTTACAAGTACTTCATAGGCACCATCTGGTCGTTTCCTTTTGCGGTAAACCTTCTCAATCCTATACTCTGTCCCTGCATCTTTTTTGACTTTGTTAAGTTCTTCGTTGTAATAAGATCCCTTGTACTTATTACCGTTGTCATCCATTAATTTATAACGAATTGGTCTAGATTGATCTTTGACTTTGTCTACTTCCACTATTATATCACCCCAATTTGGAATATAGCCCTTTTCAAATGTTCCTTTATTGACACTAGTACGTACAAAATCTCCTTTTTTAAATTTAGGTTTTGCCTTTCTAATTTTTGTAGACAATTCATCTCCATAAATCCTCTCCCACACCTCTTGAGCATTCTTAAAGTTAACGTCAATAGGTCTCATTCCATGAACCCGACTCTTTGCTTTATTTATTCCTTCCAGAATCTCAGGTAAAATCTCAACCCAGTTAAGTGTTTTGTAGTGGGCAAAATATCTATATAATCGTTGTTTGACATTTCTAATTGCCCGCTCCGCAAGCGAAGCTTTAACTATTGAATGGGTAGCTTCAAACTTTTCAATTTCTTCTTTTTCAAAAAATTCTTTTAATTGCTTATTTTTAAATTCTAGTCCTTTGTCAGAAAATACTCTATGTGGCTTCATGGGCATTTGGTCGATTAATTGCTTAAAGGCTTCTAACATGTTTTCGGTTTTCTTTGATTTGACAGGAACCCCAAAAACTCTTTTTGAAAGTACATCAATCCCCAATAATAAATATTTATTTCCTTTATTGTGTCTTGACAATGTTTGTAAATCCGCCAAATCAACTTGAACATCTGTCATAAACCCGGCAGCAACAGTTTTACTTCGTGGATAATGTATTCTCTTGGGACGCATAAGGGAATAAGTTCGGTGTCCCTCAAGGAAATCCTGCACAACTTTTCTTGGTAAATTTTTAAGGACTTTACGTGCTTCAAACCATAATCTATCAACTCCAGAAAACGCAGCAGGAGAATCGGGGTCATTATAGAGATGTTTCAAAAGTTTTGTATAATCCGCCATTTTTACCAAAGTGAGGGTTTAAATCTATTTATATCTTCCTGTGTAGGCTTTTTTGACGCCCATTTTTTACTGATTGTACGACCTTTTACTTTACGTAAACTTATATCCTCTTGAGTTGGTTTTCTCGATGCCCATTTTTTAGTCCCTTCTTTGCGTCCTCTTAAAATATTTAATTTTTCTGACCAAGCTTTTGATAAAAGTTCCGATTTTTTCTTCGAGGCTGGTTTTATTCTTTTGAGATGAACCGCACTAGTGTCTTCAGGGATTACATATTTCCTTTTAGAACGCTCTCGCGGCAACGGTGGAGACGGGGATCTACCTTCTCTCAATATTCCATGACGACGACGAGATCTTTTAGCTCTATCTAAAATTTCTGCCTCCTCATCTCGACGCATTTGTTGAATTACACTATGATCAAGAGGGACTTTGACATTTTGGGATGTTTTTCTTCTCCTTAATAGCTCTTTCTTCTTCTGAATCTGTGCAATTTGTTCTCTTAACCTAAGTTCTCTATTTTCATATGTATTTTTACTCCTCTTATTCCCTTCAAAATCTTCGGATACCTGGTCCCTTTTTGAAGCTTGGATCGATACAGGAGGAGAATCACTTAAAGGAGCATTTTGTGCATCGAGTATGGGATCTTGTGTAATATTAGACTCTACAGCCGATGTTGAGGGTAAAGGACGGCTCACTGTTACTTTTTTCTTTTGTTTCTTTTTAACCGGAATTTTTGATTTTTTAATTTTCTTAATTATTTTTATTCTTTTTGGTTCATCACCATTATCTTGTTCTTTCCTCTTTGTAATTTGGCGTTGACTTTGTACAGTGCTACTTCTAGGTAGAGAAGGGGGTATTGATGGATGGTAGGAAGATTCAGAAAGAGGAGGTACAAAATTATAAGCGAGACTAGGAGGTTCTCTAGGATAATTAGAAAATGAAACGTCATCGCTCATCCATAAATCATCGTCATTTTCGGCTATATTTGTTGAGGGATGAGTTTGGTCTCTATTCATAATAGCACCCTTAGGCGAAGCAACCATTTCAACCCTAACAGGACGATTTTGACTTTCATTACGTAGATGGAGATAACGTCTTAATTCTTGATTGTAGTGAATATTTTTTGCACTTGGATGTTCCTTTACTCTTCGAGTTTTATCAAGTGTTCGTCGGACATCATCTAGATTTGGTTCTCCTGTATCAAAAGTAGTAAGACCACGATAAATTTCTTGAGGAACAAGAATAAATTTATTAGCCATAATTTATTAATAATAAGAATTTTGATTAATTTGCGCTTTTTATAGAGCGCGCCAGTTCAATGAGTATTGGGGTAAGAAGGGCGGCAAAGGCTCCAATACCATTTCCTTTCTGTAAAGCATGTTTTGCTCCCCTCTTGCTTCGAGCCCTACTTACGCCACGGACAAAGCAGGCATAAGGCATTAAGCGTTTCTTTTGACGAGTCGTCAATTGAAATCGTGATTTAACAATATTTAGACAAATTTCTACAAGTGCTAAAAGTTGTGAAGTACTAGCAAGTCGTAAAAGTCGACGTATTTTTCTTTGAGATTTTGT